CTCGTCGTTGTTAATGCAAGCAATATTTTTCGTGAGCTCGACACGTTCGTAATCTCTCCTGTACGCAACGACCGTACCAGGAAGAATTAAGATCTGCCAGGTGCCAATTCTCCTCTCTCCTCTTCCTTCTTCTTCTTCTTCTTCTTTCAAGCCTCTCTCCCTCTCACCATTTGTGCTTTCGATACTCGAAGCAATTTTGCAGAAGAGACCCGGAGCCCTCCCAAGTGTTCGGTTTTCTGCACAAAGGAGCGACCCCGTTACATTCCCTTCGAAGCCGCGAACGCGTCTTCAGTGATTCTCGTTCCGAAGTCCTTTTGTTTTTTTCGCTGATACTAGAAGACCGAGTGCGATCGTGTATCATTCGACTAATTGATCGGTTTAATCAATTATGTATGCTCTCCGTTAATTAAATCGCCGTAATATTCGCATCTCAATGCCGGTTGCGAATGACTCACGACGATGAATCGTTGACATGTCGCTGACGTGTCGTGTATCGAAGTGTCGTTAGCTAATTCCACTCCACTCGTTAGCTAATTAATCATTAATACTAATATATCTATGAGTCTATGATCTATGAATACTAATATATCTAAACTAGATAACGATCATAGCTTCAAGCTACGAAGAATGTTTAAAGTCAGGTTTATTGTCCTTTCATTAGTATTTTTTTATTATAAAAATTAGAAATTTATATTGTTTATTATTATAAGTAATATAAATTTTTCTTTATTATTTTATTTGAATTTAATCATATTTTTAGGCTATTGCACGATGAAAAAGCGATCCAGAATTAAAGTTAAAAGGCGTGGCCTTAGATAGTCCTTCTTGCAGATATTACTGTAGATATAGACTATGGATCGTACACAATCTTAAGATGATGCTCCAATTAAAGCGTATGTGAGACAGAGTTAAAGATAACAGCCTCGTGCCGAAGATAGTTTTATGATGTGTAATTAACGGGCAATACTCGAATCATTAAATTTAGATAACGCCATTATTCTAGAATACTTGACTTTTATCGCGCGTATCCAGGATGCTCTGATAAATTAGATCGAATCCTGTCCCCGAACAGCTTTGTCCAGCGTCTCGATTCATGATGTATCATGACGAAAGAGATAAAAGCTTGAACTGTACCGATTGAAGAATTCTAAGATATCGTCTGTGTGTAATTTTCTACGGGATAAAATACTTGGAACATTTACGTTAATCGCGACCAAGTACTTCGTTATTGAACTCAGCGGACAGGTGATAAAATAGTAGACGGAGGAAGGGGGAGGGACGTTGTCGTTGTGTGAAGGTTAAACCACGTCCTCCTCGCGCGAGATCATTTCTCTGAAGGATCTGGGCTTCTCGGAATTTGCCCGACTGCGACACGGCTTGAGATTGCCGCTGGCTGGTTGGATGGTAGGATGGCAGAATGGCAGGATAGCTAGCTGGCTGGCTAGATGCACCCTCTCGCATCGATGCCGGCTGCCGGCAGGCAGGCAACGCCGCGTTGCCGGGCAACCAGACGGCCAGACTGCCGTCTGCCGATCGGTCGGGGTGCGCGGGAGACCACGCGCGCGCCAGACGGGGGAGGTAAAGAGAAAGACGGAGAGGGACCAGAGGGCAGAAGGGCCGCAGAGAGGGGCGACGGCAACAGCGGCAGCGGTAGTACGGAATAGGGACGGGTGAGAAGGGCGCGTCGGAGGGGCAACCCCTCACGCGGCACTCCGAGCGCACACAATGAGGGTTGCGCTGATAGATTGCACAGTGGTGGGAGCAAATGCAGTGCGACGTCGGTGTCGCAGGGGCGGGGGAGTGGTGGATGCTGATCCGACAGGGTCGGGCCGCCAGAGGGTGCACACAAGGAAAAAATGAATATTCGCCAAAATGATTTCGGAACCGGCGACTACTATGAGCGAATTGTTTTTTCCGGCGGGAATAATCGATGGCCCTTGTCGACGTCGCGTCGCTTTCGACTCTTTTTTTTTTTATATTCGCTTTTATTTCGTCGATAGCGTTGTAACCAAATTGCTCGTCCAATACCGCGAACCGGTCTCCAGCCGGATTTACGAGAATGGATTGGCCGGACCG